CTTTCTTACAAAACAAAACAACAAACAACTAAATACATACATAGTTTGCAATACTGTGACACCAACAAATGCAGTATATTATAATTTTTTATACGTTTTCCCCTGCTTATTATTCAATATTAATTATATTTGTTAAAGGGCAGCATGCCTCTCATAATGGAGATTTGCTGTAAGGGCCAAACTTTCTATGACTGAATGGCATATAAGAGCTTATATGATAGTCAGTAGAACAGTCACCTGTACTCTCCCAAAACCACTCTGTACCAGAGCAGAGCCACACACTTACTTTGTCCTTACAGCCAGACACTGCTGTCAAAAGCAGAGGCCACAAACCATCCATGTGGATGTGGAAGGTAGGGAGAACCACCTTTCCAAGAATAGGTTTAAGGACAAATTACTAATCTGGAATGGGGAACTGCCAGGTTAAAAGTCTTCACATCAGTCTTCAAACAGCATAATCTTAATCTTCATCTTCACTAGCTGTAAACTCCTGCATAAAGTTCTGGCTGTTCATTCCCTTTTGGACTTGAATCTTGCTCCAGAAACTGACTTTTGCATGCACATCTGTTTTACAGATCTGGATTATTTTTTTTGCAGCTCGCCCTTCAGGCAGATGCACACCGACAGAAGAAAACACCCCTAATTAGTCAACTCTTATGACATGCTTGTTAGGGAGACAGTGAGTCTACTCCCCCCCCCCCCCCCAATGAGGCCCCAAAACTCACATGAGGAATCATCTTATATAATAATAATAACTGTTATGCTGTCTCTATAATGGAGATTGGCCGCAGAGGATACGTGCACCCGTCTCTGCCTTTGCGAATATTACGTGGTGTGGCTCCCAGTAACTTCCACAGTGCAACTCTCGTACCACTATCTCATAGCCACAATGACAATATTTCTAAACCATTTACAACCTTATATTAAGAGATTCCTGTGGACACTTTATTTCGTCCAGATTTGAAAAACATATGTCGTCTTCCCAGTTTCTCCAGAGTGAAACTGTTTTCCAGTTTACTTCGGGACAAAACAATTTCTTCAGCGTTCACCCTTAAAGGGTCAACTGTCATGCTGTGTTGTGGTTTACAGCTAAGCTGTGATATCTATTCCTTTAGATCCAACATAACCAATTTCAATGGCAAGATAATAACATCACAAATTTATCACCTTTACAGGGGCCAAATATATGCAACGTTTTTTTTTTTTTTTTGATCGAAAAAAAAAACTTGGATGATTTCCTTTCTTCTTCTTTTGTCTCCAATCGAACACAGACCCTCAGCTTGTCTTCCCCATCTTTTCAACTTCTCTTTAGTTACCTCTTTGCGTTTGTTTTGTTTTTGGGGTCTGCTTTTATTTCAGTGACAATGTGGGTCCCAATGTAAAGACATTATAGTTTCAGATTTCTTTAATAAACAAATACATCTTTAACTCTTTCAGTCCCACAAGGTATAAGCTTAGGTCCAAGAAAGTAACGAATGACAATACTGAACTCCTGGGTATACTCCTTCCAGGAGGGCCAAATATATAACCCTTGCAGGAAACAGATAATTTGTCAGAGTTCTTCAAAGCCTCTCGCTAAACAAAAATCAAGATGTTCAAAAACATACATAATATGATGAATGATACACATGGATAATACCCAGTTATGCTTGGCGCACTGTTTGCGGCAGAAAGAATTCATGCCTGAATTTACCCTTTTATGGCCGTAGTGCAGAAAATCAGGGTCTGGAGAAGTTAGGACCGCATGGCTAGTGCAGTTGCCACAATTTACTGCCCATTTGGAGTTTAATTTTTCCACAGACAGGAACAGTTTGCATCACCTTGAGAGCACAGCACTGCAACTGCTTGGCCAACCACTCCTCAGATTCCTTTAGTACGCAATTACAAAACATAAGAAATGCTACCACACATGAAACGACTGGAACACAGGAGCCAAATATACAAACTCCATTCTTTTTTTTTTTCAAACCCACACACATCTGTTGTCATTTTTCTTTAGTAAAAAGTTAGCTGTGTATTCTTTACAGTACACCGCAGAACCAACAAGCAGCAGTTTTTAATTGTCTGTAATTTTACTGACCAATTTTACATTTAGCAGTTTGCCCTTACCCTCTGAATGCTCAGCACTCCCTACAATTATTGCAATCTAAAGCAAATCGGCCTGATACCAAATCACCTGCAGCTGGAACCGAAATGGATATTTCGGAATTGCAAAGCATGTTCAAAATGCCTAAGCCACAGACGCTAACTTCTTTAGCGAGCATTGATGCAATGTCAGACGCACATTTGCAGGAAACCGTTGGTATACACATAGAGAACAGCCAGCTCTCTGTGTGGGTTCCGCTGCTCTATAGTGGAGAAAACCAACCGCATGTCTTAAGAGTCGACCGATTGGTAGCTTCCTTTGAAGCCGGAGTGCCTCTGCCTTAGAGGCGAGGAACCAACAGTCTGCATACACATAATTGAAACAGATGTGCACACAACACTCAGGTTCTGGAACAGGACTCAAGTCCAGAAGTAGACAAACACCCAGAACTTTCCACCAGTTTACAGCTGATGAACAAGAAAAAAAAAAAAAAAAGAAGAGAATAACCAGCCACCTGTCAGGTACCCGAAGGTCTTAGGTTCAAATCTGCACTGAGTTGGATCTTTTCTTTCAAAACTGACCTCCGCTCCCAGGTTGATCCAACCGAAAATGGGTACCAGGTAATGTCCTGGGAAGTAAAGGCGGTGATGTTAACCACATCAGCCATGCGGTACTGACGGGTCCATAAAAGTACGATTCTAGTATTGATGACCCGATTTGCCATTGGTGTAGAAAGGGTCCTTTGCTGTTTTTTTTTTTTGTTTTTTTAAATTTTTTTTTGTTTAAAGTTAGTAGCTTGTCCTTTACAGGACGTTGCAGAACCAACCCCAGCAATTTCTGGCTGTTGTGGTTTTTCTAGGCAAATAATACGTTCAGTAGTCTGCCATTGTCGGCTCTGTGGCTAAGTCGATTCGAACGCTTCGTAATGCCGGGTTCGATCCCAGCTGTGGAACGATGGTTTCGACAGTGGTATCAAGAAAGCCAACCGTCCAGGAAAGCAATGGCAAACTACTGGACGTAAATTTGCCTAGGTTGGTTGGGGGTTGGTTCTGCAACGTCCTGTAAAGGATACTCAACTAGTCTACCATTGCCCTCTGAAGGGTCAGCTCTCGGTACCACTGGTGAAGCTAACGCAAGACAAACCATAAGCAACTGGGACTGAACTCGACACCCCGGTTTTGAGAAGCATGTTTGCAACGCTTAAGCCCTAGACATTTAACTCTGCTAAAAACCAATCACCTAATGTTAAAGTGTTCTTTGTCCTGTAAAATTGTTAATGTGTATACACAAAATATACACGATTAAGCAAACAAGATGATAATTCTAGCACTGTTCTAGCTTTTGTCTAAAGTAGAATGAACAATTAGAAACAAATATATTAATTTAAAAAAATAAAAACATCTGTAAGAAAACTAGCTAATGACAATTTTCACAGAACAGAATTATGAAAAAATATAATGTCTTTTTTTTTTTACATCATTTTCTATTGTTATGTGTGTGCATATATAAGTTCCTGTGCATGTAGGTACGTGAATGTGCCAGCATGTTTGTCTGGCTTTCAAACAATCATGCACAATTCTAATTATGAATATATACTGTTTTTTTGCGCTCACCGGCTGTAAACCCCGGCAGAAAGACCGGGTTGTATGTCCCTTTCTGGACTTTGGCTTTGTTCCAGGACCTGAGTTTTGCGTGTGCAACCGTTTTACAGACCATGCTTATTTGTATGCAGACTGTTGGTTCCTTGTCTCTCAGGCAGATCCACTCAACTCTGAAAGAAAGCCCCCCAATGAGTCGACTCTTAGGACATGCTTGTCGAGGAGGCAGTGGGTCTATGCTTGTTTTTCCCACAAGGGGGCCTAAGAACCCACACAGAGAACTATTAATATATGAATCTGAATGTACCTTAAAAATGTGCTGTAACCTTGTACTGCTACTCCTGTATTTTACGCATAATGCATGGCCAAAATTCTGCAGTATGCACATAAACTGTCCCCGAGCAATAATCCGAGGAATTAGAACTAGCTGCTGTATGAGGCTGCCAAGTTCATCCCTTGTGCAAATCACACATAGTATCATGGCTATCTTCTTCTTCTTCTTCACGTTTGCCAGCTGTAACCTCTGGTAAAAAATTCTGGCTGTTTGTCCACTTCTGGACTTTAATTCTTGTTTCAGAACTTGAGTTTTGCATGCACATCTGTTTTACAGATTTGGCTTATTTGTACGCAGATTACTGGTTCCTCACCTCTCAGGCAGATGCACTCTAATGACATGCTTGGTAGGGAAGCAGTGGATCTAATTCTTACCTCCCCCCCCCCCTCTTCCTCCCCACCCACAATGGTACTCCAGAAAACACACAGGAAGTATCACGGGTTTGAAACTTAGCAAGACAACCATGAATTAAACTGACTGATCATTAAAAAATTAAAACGTCAGGAGGCAGGTAAAAATACATCTCCATAATCCATGGCAACCAAATCCTGTATATATCCTCTGTGTGTGCAAGTGTATGTGTGTAATCTTAATAAATACAGATTGTGATTTCAGATACATGATAAATATATGACTCCTAGCTTACAGTATGAAAAAAAAACCAGAGTTAATAAATCAATATCGTAAACAATGAACTTGTATGTGACATGTTATGTAACATCATTCTCTTCACTATTTATAAATACTATTACCACACCATAACAGATTTCATCATCAGTTTATGTAAACATTATCTCAGTTAGTCTCAAACCAAAATCCAGCTTACATAATTGGGAATACAAAAACAAAACAAAAAATAAAAAAACTCAAGTCACGTGTATCCAGTTTTTTTGCCATAGTTTACACAATCTCTGCAGGCAGTCAACCAGAAGTAATATACATGTTCACAGACACAAGGTAACTTTAACCTGGGGGCAGCATGTCAACCATCTAAAGGGGGCCCTAAATACACCATGGAAACTTCTGTGTTGCCGTAAACTGCTGAAACTGCTGGGTACAGCTGTGTGTTTGGCAGGCCTCGGAATGCTACTCCTGAAAAGGGAATCACAGAAAGAAATAACGCAGATGTTTCACAGTCTTGTTCTTCTTTATTGCCCTCTATCCCCCCACCCCACCAAAATCAGGACTCGCCTTATTTATCTCATGTTAAATCATTCTGTCCTTTGCCACTGTGTGCAGCTCAGGACATGCCCTCTGCATCTTTCTTAACTTGTCCTCTCATTCAGATAATTCTAGTAGGAATGTACCCCCACACACACACCAACTTCTTTTTTCTTCTTCGCGTTCACCAGCTGTAAACTCTGGCGGAAGGTTCTGGTTGCTCGTCCATTTCTGAACTGCAGTCCTGCTCCAGAAGCTGAGTGTTGCGTGTGCATCAGTTTTACAGATCTCATTCTCTTGAATACAGACTGTTGGTCCCTTGCCTCTCCGGCAGATGCACTCCGACTTCAAAGGAAGCTCCCCAATTAGTCGACTCTTACGACATGCTTTTGGGGAGGCAGTGGGTCTATTCTGATTTTCCCCCCACAAGGGGGCCCCAGAACCCACATGGGGGACACACTAACATTTTGTTGAGAGTTCCCTTCCATGTTTCCAGATCTCCTCTTCTTATCATTCACTGATTGTAAACTCTGGTGGAAGGTTCTGATTGTTCGCCCAATTCTGGACTTCGGTCTTGTTTCAGAACTTGAGTTTTGTGTGCACATCCTTTTCAAAATTATGCAGGCTGTTAGTTCCTTGCCTCTCAAGCAGACACACTCTGACTTCAAAGAAAACACTCCTAGTCACCTTTTTTAAAAAATACTTGTTAGTCTATTCCCTCCCCCCCCCCCTTTTTTTTCACTCCACACCCCCCCCCCCCCACCCCATGGGACTCTAGAAACCACACAGGGAATCTTTCCAGACTCTAGGGTTATATTGTTCTATAGCAGCGGTTCCTCACTGTAGAAGACTAGACTCTACCTCATTGCAGAAAACTGGACTCTTCCTCTCTCTGTAGAAAACATGACTATCTCACTCTAGAAAATTTTACTTCATTCTCTAGAGAACTGACCTCTACCTATAGAAATCTTAACAATATCTCACTCCATAGAAAACCTGAATCCATCTCACTCTGTAGAAAACTCTACTCACTCTGTGGAAAACTCTACTCACTCTGTAGAAAACTTAACTTTACCTCACTCTGTACAAAACTTTACTAACTCTGTATAAAACTTTACCTCACTCTGTAGAAAACTCTACCTCACTTTGTAGAAAACTTAACTTTACCTCACTCTGTAGAAAACTCTACTCACTCTGTAGAGTTTTCTACAGAGTGAGGTAAAGTTAAGGGTCGATTACTTTTACTTTGAAGTAAACAGGCCCAGGTTTTCTCCCCCTGAATATTAATGAGTTAATCAGAGAAACTAAGCAAATGAGGACTGATAATGACAAAACTTGACGTCAAATTTTTGGTACTTCAATTTAAATACACCCCAAACAAAGGAAATCTAGAAGTTCCCATGATATTCCAAACACATCCCATGTCATCAAGGTTTTTTTTTTGCGGTTTATATTTTGTAATATAATTTGTGTGTTGCTTACATTAACCCCTAATGCTAACACTAACAGTAACCCATGCTAAATATAACTACCCTATATATAGTTACCAGGTTTGTTTGGGATTAAAATTCAAGTGCCAAATTATCTAATATTTGTTTTCAAGCAGCTGAATGAAGTGTGCACCAATGTACAAAGGGATATTAATCCAAAGTACTTCAATAGTAACTGAGCTTACCAAGAAATTCGTAATTTTTTTCAAATGCTAATGTGTTATCTTCGCAGTCTAAAATGACTCGTATTCTTTCACCAACCTGTGGAACACAAAATACAGAAAAAGTTATCACCAGGCATGTCAAACATTTATTGTAGTGTTAGTCAAGATCTTGATACCCAACACTTACAAACCCCGGTGGATCAGTCAAAGTTGCGATGGTTTGGACATGTATGCAGAATGGGTGAAAATCAGCCACCATGGCAGGCATGGGAGGCTAAGAACCAGGGAACAAGACCTACAGGGCGACCAAGGGAAGACAACATCCAACAGTCCGTTACTGTCAAGAGGACTGGAATGGAACAAAGCCAGGAAGAAAACTGCTGATAGAGTCGTCTGGCGATTTCTCTGGCAAACCTCTACACCGCTAGGTAGAAGAGGAGCGACTAGGTGAGTCAGTCAGTTAGAAATATATATGACACCGACACATTTGGAAATTGGAGGGGTATTCTGAAAGCCACTCATGTCTATCTCTCAAACTATTCGTGCACAATTTATTAAATTCACTCACAACATCTTTTACACATACAATTTTCTATATTTTCACCAACTACAACTACAGCTTTACTCCAATGTGAGATAATCATATGCATGCCTTGACTATATCAGGTTTTGTCCTGTTAACATAGCCATTTCCTCACAGTATGACTAACATTTTTAGGTCTTTCTTTCCACCTTCTGAAACTCTAACTCTCTGAACCCAGCAACTAACAGTGCTCTTATCAACTGCACAACTTTTATATCACAGCAAACAATGGTTCATAAGTGTTCACCAGTTTCTGTTTCAGCACAAGAAATTCTGCAATATGTTATTTGTAATGCACTGTCTTCGCAAGCCATTCAATGGATTAATGCAGTTTTCTTTTTGTTGTTGTTGAATATGGTGCCATTTTGTTTGCGCAACACAGACATTTCATATTTCCAGCTCAGAGAAAATGTCTCTCATAAATGACACAGACACGTGTTACTTCTACTTCCTTGTTCAAACTATTTCACTGTTAAAGTCTGTTGCACATCACTGATGATAAGGTGTTCTGAACCCAGACTGATGTCAAGATGTGCAGCAATGTCACTCACAGTCAATTAGCAGTTCTACTGTACAAAGCCTTCAATGGCTGCAGTCGACTCTGGGGTCACTTCTAGGTGTGCCTGCCCCTGGTTGTGACCAGTCTGTCACAGAAGTCACACCCTTTTAAAACTTCCTACTCCACTCATACACTTGCTGGACTGACAGGCATGCATCAACATACTGCACCTTGTTCACCGATGAATTTCTATAGGTTTCACCCCTTCACTGATCAGAAACAAGGATAACAGAATGCTGCTACTCTTGGGTACATGTCAAAGGTGGCGTGACCACCTTTAATCCGTCATTATGACATCACCATGTAATCTGTACTGCAGTGTCATGTGCTTAACACTCCTGACATCCTTAACAATAATACTGACAGAAGACGAGACAATGGCATGATTATTATAATTTCTATCACAGTTGTAAGGTTTAATTTTGAAGCCTTTCAACGCTATGGTGTTGGACAATGAAGAGATTTGCTGATTTACTGCATTGCACAACGAACAAAAAATCAGAAAGTTCAATTGATTCTCTGAAGATGCGGATATACAAAAAAAAGGTCATATTTCATGGAAACAAAAACAATACATAGATTCTGAAGAGACTAGAGGTCAAAAGAGAGGTGCGCCAGATGATCAAACCACCTCAATTATCACATAAAAGTTAGCTGTGTATCCTTCACAGGACATTGCAGAACCAAACACAGTATTTTTGGGTTGTTGTGGCTTTTCTAGGTAAATTTTAACATTAGTAGTTTTCCATGGCCTCTGAACGGTCAGCTCTCCGTACCACTGTTGAAACCAACGCAAGACAAACCGGCCGCAGTTAGGACTGAACTCGGCACCCCAGCATTACGAAGCGCATTCGCCATTCCTAAGCCGCAGACACCCACAATTATTACACACAAATGCCCATTTGTCAGTTTCACCTTGTCTACAGGAGTAATCCATAAATGACCCTTGTCTTTTCAACATGATTTTTTTTAAAATAGAAAAGATCCCTTTTCCACGCATTAAGGCGTATATGGCATATAGGACTAGACCTATATTTTATAGACCAATCAGCACAAGATGGGTGATGTGGTCAGCATCACGCCGGCAGCCTTTACTTCCCTCGACTGCACCCGGTACCCACTCAAGGCTGAGTCGACCTGGGAGTCAAGGTCATTTTTTTTTTTAAAGTCAGGCTCCGCCAGGAAGCGAACCCACAACCTTCCGATCCACACGCGAGCCTCTAGCCGCTACGCCACAGCGACTCCCATTCCATAATAATCTAAATATTTATCCAACAGGCAGCTCTTTGGTGGCTAGAGAACAAGGGCATACACATGTCATAATTGTAACAGACTCTGAAAGCATGCTGAGACAGGGATGCTTCGAGCAGAGTGGCCTGCTTTACTGGAAAGGTCACGGGTAGTGAGCATACTTTAGATCTTTCCTCCAGGCCGTGTCGGCGTGGTGGGTAATAAACAGGCAGATTGGTTGGATCTGCACCACTGGGTGGTGAATTGATACATGACAAGGCAGATGTGGTCAAGGCCCTTTGGGAACAAGCAAACGAATCAGTTGAGAAAGAACATTATTATGGCCTGGAGAAAATGAGGCACCTGGGTGTAACCAGAGGTTCTGGCCAGCTCGCTACACTCAGAGGAAAGGCAAGACAGACATATAACCAGATTGTCACCGGCACCATTAGTATTAGAACTTTGTGCTGGCTGCTGAAGGTGAGGACAGAGCATGCATGGGAATGCTCCGAGTGCTGTGATGTCAATTCTTGACTTAACTCAACTTATCTAACAAATTAACGCATCTTCCTGCATTTACACAGGACAACAGATCATCATCATTATTATGTGCCCTGCCAACTGGCGGAGGCACTCATGCGTCTCCACAGTTCACGATCCCTGGTTGCCTGAAACAGCTCTCTTGATGATATCCCTCCATGCCATCATTTCAGCCCATCCAGCATCAACTCTCTTGGTCTGCCTCTACCTCTTTTTCCACTGATCTTTCTAGTTGTCATGATGTTCTCCAATGTTTCTCTTCTCCTTATGTGGCCAAAGAACAGTGTCTGTCTATTTCTTATTGTTGTATATAGAAATCTACAGATATAATATAATTAATATACTCCCAGGACCCAAAGACAACTTGTTACAAACATCACAAAGAGGAAAGATGGGAAACACTGTTAATTTTTTAAAAGATTTCAAAAAAAAAAAGGATAGAAAAAGACGATGAGAGACGCAGAAAAATGTCAGCACACATTCTGTTGAAGATCGCGTGATGTGAAAAAACATGATCACTCATGCCAGCCGGGCAAAGCACTTGAGTGATGATGACGACCTTTCAGGTACGGATATTCTTCAACAAGTCACAAGCGTAGCAATCAGCTACATTTGTGTTGTTTCAGAGTGAGACCTGCATAGGGCACTAAGAACAAATCTCAGAAATCTATACTTTTAAGCTTAGCGTCCTTTTCTTTTTCTGCATTCACCATGTAAAGGGCCATTAGCATTGAATTGTGGTTTACAGCTAGGCTGCAATATATGAGCCTTTCAGCCCTGCACATCCATTTCAGAAAAGTCCTAATTAGTCATTTTTTATGACATAATTGTTTGGACGGAATAATGCAAGTTTTAAGTTACAACCAGAATTATTCTGGTTATTTGCATTATTATAAATACCTTTCTTAATTTGATTTCCTGTATTTAAAAAGCTGTGAGCAGCCGACTATAGTGAGGCTAAACCAATTTTTTTGAGCCGCAAGCACTCTCAATGGACATTTGAGAGTGGTCAATACAACAACCGCTTCCAAAGTTCAACACAGACTTGTCAGTGCCAACATTGTGCCTTGATGGCTTGGCCACATGGATGGGTTAAGAGTATGGACCTGATCCATGATTATGGTGATCATGTGGGATAGCGAATCATGCCCACCTAGGCTTCTCAACATGGCACATGATCACAATGATGTTTCATTGTCAAATTTGTAAAATATTAAATTTTGTAGGAATGTACACACACACACATGCACGCACACACACACACAGAGTCAAACTCTGATCAGGTAAATTTCGCGTAAGTCGATCAGCTAAGCCCTGGCCATTTGCCTTCTTCATCTTTGTATAAAAAGTTCTGATAAGTCAAACTCTGTTAACTCAAACATTTGGACTTTAGTGGCATCTAAAATTTAAAATAGACTATATACGCATTGATATGTTAGTCAAAGTGATCATTATCCCATGCCCACTCTTTATGATATGCATTAGAAGAATGGTAGATGAAAAGTGAGCTGCAAAATAAATGGAACTATTGCATCCCAATGAGCTGCATAAGAAATGGAACTATTGCATCCCAATGAGCTGCATAAGAAATTGAAATATTGCATTCCAATGAACTGCATAAGAAATAGAATTATTGCATCCCAGTGAGCTGCATAAGAAATAGAATTATTGCATCCCAGTGAGCTGCATAAGAAATAGAATTATTGCATCCCAGTGAGCTGCATAAGAAATAGAATTATTGCATCCCAGTGAGCTGCATAAGAAATAGAATTATTGCATCCCAGTGAGCTGCATAAGAAATAGAATTATTGCATCCCAATGAGCTGCATAAGAAATAGAACTATTGCATCCCAGTGAGCTGCATAAGAAATAGAACTATTGCATCCCAGTGAGCTGCATAAGAAATAGAACTATTGCATCCCAGTGAGCTGCATAAGAAATAGAATTATTGCATCCCAATGAGCCGCATAAGAAATAGAATTATTGCATCCCAGTGAGCTGCATAAGAAATAGAATTATTGCATCCCAGTGAGCTGCATAAGAAATAGAATTATTGCATCCCAGTGAGCTGCATAAGAAATGGAACTATTGCATCCCAATGAGCTGCATAAGAAATGGAACTATTGCATCCCATTGATACGGGATGACAGCCATGCAAGGGAAAGGAAAGGGAGGGAAGTGTAGCCTCATGTGCAGTTTTTTTCTAAGTTCACAATAGTAGGAGGTGGGGAATGGCAAAGTGATGTCACTTAGATTTGCCAATTCTATTTTTGGTGCAGCTCATGTTTACAACACACGACCTCCTGCAGACTTTTTGGCAATCCGCATTCCAACTTCCACCTTCCCTCATAATTTCCCTCTTCTCTGCTCTTTCTCCTTTCATCTTTCACTCCCTCCTTCTTCTTACTCTCTACCTTTCCTTTCGATCCTCATTCTGTTCTCTCACTCTCCTCCCTCTTCTCTCTATCTCTTCGCCCTGTTTCCTCTCCATCCTCTCTCTCTCTCCCTCTTGTATGCAGCCTTCATCTGCATCTCTGAGTCTTCCTTATGCTCTTTGCTCAATCCTTCTTCTTCCTTTCCTCTATATTTTCTCCCCCACCTCCCCCCTTTTTCTCACTTACTAAAAGTACTGCCTCATAACCCAACTATTCCCAGTGGTTATGTCCAGTTGTGTTCTAGTGGGGCACAGAGGTGGGGTTTCAAAGTGAGATTGATGGTTTTTTCTGTGATGTTTTCTTTGGATAATAGTGGGGTTTTTTTTTTAATGTGTTGATATTTTTGTTAGCACCCCTGGCATCTAAACTGATTATAAGTGTATTAAATATTTCAACATTTCTGACAACGTATTACTATTTATTTGTTAACTTATGGTGTTTCTAAAGTGGTACAATTGTTTAACTCCACGCTACTGCATGGTATTAATGTATACTCTCTACTATATACGCTATCTGGATAACTCTAATACCTAACAAATTTCCTAAGGTCCCTGTGACATCTACTAAGGGGCCACAATTTTGAAATATGCGGAACAATGCGGGCCAGAGGCTCGAGCCACAGCACAGAGAAATCATTAATGCAATGTATTATGTAACAAATGAGATGCTGTTCCTGAGATGAATGTTACGAATACCTTGGACGGCCAGAGTAACTAACAACGAGTGCTTGAAAGAAGCTAATGAAAGTAGATCTCTACATACAACAATAAAAAAGAGACAAACACTGTTCTTTGGCCACGTGATGAGAAGAGAGGCATTGGAAAACAATGTGACAACCGGTAAGATCATTGAAAAGAGGGGTAGAGGCAGAACAAGAGAGATGATGCTGGATGGGCTGAAACGATGGCATGGAGGGATATCATCAAGAGAGATGTTCCAGGCAACCAGGGATAGTGACCTGTGAAGAAGCATGAGCGCCTACGACGACAGGGCACATGATGATGATTATGTAACTCGGTGATCCGCAGGCCACTTGCTAGACCTCCGAGGCCAGGATTTGGCCTATGGGTCGCAAGTTGAATAGCTGTGCTATAAAAGATCCAGAACTAAATAAAACAGAATTGATAATGCTAGACATGTAATAATTAAGCAAACTTACAGAAAGAAAACTGACTGCAAGTGCGACTGAATGGAAACAAAAGACTATGGTATAATGCAACTGAGTTTGTTCTAAAGTCTGTTGTTTATCTTTTACAGGATGCTGCAAAATCAACCCCAGCTTTTTTTGGCTGTATGTGGTTTCACTAGATAATTGTATATTTAGTAGTGTGACACTGATTTCTCAATGGTGGGCTCTTGTTACCACTGTCAAAACCAAAGCAAGGCGGTCTGATGACAAATCGCCCACAGCTCGGACTGAAGCCGACGCCCACAAAGTATGATGTGTGTTCACAACGCCTAAGCCACAGACACAGCTACTAAACAAATGGAACAAATTAAATACGTGAAAGAAACATACATTTAACAAAACATTGGACTTATTGCGACCACAGGGGAAGATCACAAACATCCTGGTAAACAGCAATGATGAGAAAAAGAACAACTGCAAGGACAAGCCAAATGGTAATTAATGAAAGAGAAGATAAGGAGTTAAATGAATACATATTCAGATAAGTGTTACAGGGTCATCTTTCATTTCTTCTTCTTCTTAGCACCAACCGGCTGTAAACTCTGGTGCAAAGTTCTGATTGTTCGTCCACTTCTGAATCGTGTTCAAGAACTTGAGTTTTTTGTGCACATCAACAGATCTTATCTGTGTTGTGCAGACTGCTGGTTTCTCACCTCTCAGCCAGATGCATTCCAGCTTCAATGGAAACACCCCTAATTAGTTGCTTTTTGGTTCTCCTTTAAACTACGGCATGTTAGATGGCTGGTTAGTAGGAGTTCAGTCCCCTGGCTACAGTGCAATTATGGAGTGCTGTCGACATGGCTGCTAGAGCTAGACCACGCGCTGCGACTCACATTAGCGACCGCGTTCCACTGCCACAAGCAGCACATTTTTGGCTGTTATTTGCAACTCCTGTGTCAAAATTATCAGATATAGCGGCCGTCATTATGGGTAAGTACTCGACCTTACATGTGTTACCCTAACCCTAACCATACCCCTAACCCTAGCCGTATGATGACAGCAGGGCACTGCACGCTGTCTATCGCCAACACACAGTAATTATGTCATTTGTTTTGTTCCCTCTTTTCCACTCCGTAATTGCACTGCAGCCAAGGAACTGAACTCTGACTAACCGGCCGTAGTTTAAAGGAGAGCCGCTTTTTGCGACATGCCTGTTAGGGAGTACTGGGTGTATTTTTTTCTCCCCTTAAATGGAGGCCCAGAACCCAGACAGGGATTATATTTAATAATAAACATTGTCACCAATGTAAACATTTAACTGAATGTTCCCTCACACTGTCACACAAGTGCAGGAAGTACTATAACTTACTTGGTATTTTGGTGCATTGTTTAAAGGAGGGTAGTCTCCCTGGCTATCTCCATTGTGAATCAAATGATTATCCACCAAATTCCATCCCCAACTATTGCTGTCTCCTCCAACTAAAGGAAAATAACCCTGGCATTGAACAGGAGAGTCTTTCGTCATCAGCCCTATCATAGCTACAGTTCCCAGTGGTCCTTCCCACCATACTTCCCAACAATGACGTCCGGTTTTGAAACCAATTTTGCCTCTGGCACCATCTGTAGTTTGAGCTACAGGGTTTCGATGAAGCGTAAAACCGTTCGATTTTATGTAAACGTTTCTGGAGCAGTCATTTGGATTCCAAGCATGATAAAATGCTCGAAGTTTAGCTTTGTAAGTTGGTACGTTGCTGAGTAGATCCGATTTTAAAGCTTCTTCGGCTAACTTCCGTACGCAATGTAACCTCCAAACGTCATTATTTTCATCGTTGAGGAAACGATACCAATTTTTGCACACCAGAGAACAACTCCTAAGGTCAGAAATGTCTAAATACGAAAAAAGAACTTCAAGAACTCGATGTGGTAACCTGGCAGCCGCCATCTTCACAAAGTTGTTCTTCTGTTTGAGGAGATTAAATCAGAAGGTCAACTAAACACATCAATGTAGTAAATAAAACACAACAAATCATTAACAATATTTTGAACTGTTATACGCAGTTTTCATATATCCCCCTTTAAGTAATTATAATGATCCGTTATGTACCCTATAACAACTATGTGTACTTTAAAATGACAGTATGTTATTTATTTTAAGCCCTTCCTCTGTCCAGTGGCTTGCTACGGGCAGACCTGGTTCCGGATTTAAACTGTATTAAAATATAAACAGGCGGACATATTGGGTTTTTTATCGCAATAACACTTAGGAATGAAGATGCATACCACTCCCTTCATATAGTCGTAATAATATGTCTGCCCCAAAAGTTCCAGGCGTACTCTAAACTTCCAGCATATTATTTGCTTAAAAGGCCTTCTACTTTCCTGATACGATAGCCATAGCTGACTCCGGATTTAAACTGTATTAAAATGTAAGCAGGACAGACGGGTATTTCATCAAAGTAACACTTAGGAATGAAGACGCATACCACTTCCTCCATATAGTCATAATAATTGCTCTCTTTTAAAAGACTCAGTTGTACTCTACATTAGTTTGAACAACGGATCAATATCAAGGCTCACGGGTAGTAACCTATTAGTGCTCGGTTCTTTTAACTCAAGTTTGAGTCCGAAGAAGCTCAGCACAGACTCTGTAGCACCGACTAGGATCCTGAAATACTTTAGGTAGATTTTAAACTCCAACTTTTGCCTGGGCAGCGCCTTTTGGCTACTCTAGACCTATATTTTATAGACCAATCGGCACAAAAGGGTTGATGTGGTCAGCATCACGCCGGCCGCCCTTATTTCCCGGGACTGCACCCGATACCCACTCAAGGCTGGGTCGACCTGGGAGCGAAAGTAATTTTTATTTTTTTCCAAAATGTCAGTCTCCGCCTACGACCTTACAATCAGGAGGAGAGTGTCTAGCTCCATGGCGACCCATAGACCAGGGGAAGTTACAAGAAGTCCGCCTTTAGCTGGGCTTGAACCCGGGATCTCTAGCACTCATGGCGGACGCCTCGAGACCACGCAACCACCCGGATGAGTAGTATGTAGTTAAGAGTACCTTTGAGCTGAAATGCTATAGAAAGATCCTCAGAATATCCTGGACAAAAAAAGAGGAGACATACTGACATCTTGAGAGATCTGAACAGCAAGGAAGATTGGCCAATAAACAGCATCCTTTCTCTGGCTAAAAAACAGCATCCTGTCTCAGAAGCTGAAATATTTTGGTCATATCAAGCGCCACGACAGATTGAAAAAAAAAATATAGCAGAAGGCATGGTGATAGGAAGGAGGGACAGGGGCCGACCAACACGAAGACTGGCACATGATAGAAGTGACTCCTTGAGTATGAAAGTACACGAGGCGGGAGAGCTGGCGAGAGACCGAGGTTCTTTCAGGCAGACCGTGATGAGAACGACGTTTTGCAAATAACCTGCTACATGATGATAATGAGTTATGAGTAAGAAGAATAAATAGAAACCGTTACTGGCTTTCAGAAATGAATATGAAAAATGTGCTGATGCATGCAACACAAGATACACAAAAGAATATAAATAAATTTAGGACACGCACAAACAATGAAATAATTTTAATACTGTATGAAAAATTATTTTTAGCTCGCAGAAGAAAACATTTTCTTTAATTAGAACACCTTCTTGTTTCATTGCGTCACCCGTGCGCTTAAATTGTTTTCAAAATAAATAATACATTGAATGGCATGTATCTGTTAATTACGAAAGTTCTGGGGTTTTTCATTATGTATGCATGAGTAGGTGTGTGTGTGGGAGAGTTGGTTTGCGCCCGCACACGTCAACAACAAGGAGGTACATTAGGTATTCAGGTAGGAACATATGAATTCAGTAAAGTAGGCGCAAACAATTGCTTTTTACATCTTTGTAATGTATGCCTAATAAAAAGGGTATTGAATGTTGAATAAGGAATTGACATCACAGTACTCAGGACACTCCCATAAGCGCTCCGTCCTCATCTTTAGTAGCAAGCGAAGAGTTCAAATTCAGATGGTACAAGTAACTGATTTTACTTCTGTCTCGCCGTTCCCATGAGTTATGAGCGTTCGCCAGATCCCCTGGTAACTCCTCGCAACATCATCCTCCTCAGACGGTAGTTATCTATCAGTGCCTCCGCACTGTTCACTCGCTCCCAAAGGGCCCTCACAACATCTAGCTTGTCATACATAAATTCACCACTAAGTGGTGCAGAATCGACCGGTCTATCTTTCTGTTCGTTTCCCAACAGACCGGCATAAGCTAGACATAATATCCAAAGAAAGATAACTACTCGGAACCTCTGAAGTGACGCTTGCCAGTCAGCACGAAACATGCCAGTCTCCAGGTTTCTCAACATACTCTGTGAGTCAGTTACAATTACGACATGTGTGTACTGCTCATTGGAGAGTGTGTGAACTATCTCGGTACATAACCAACATTTACAATCATCAATATACTCAGATAAGCTATAGTTGTTCAGATGCATTTATCCTTCTCATATGCGATGTAACCAAGAAATCTTTGAAGGAGTATAGCCCTAACCCCCACCCCCCTCACACAATCACTATGGACGACGCTCAGTGAGCTTACGCTTTGTTTGACAACCATTATAATAACAGTAATAAAAACAATAATCTTCTTTTTTGCGTTCACCAGCTGTAAACTTTGGACGAAAATTCTGGTTCTTCGTCTACTTCTGGACTCTAGCCCTGTTCCAGAACCTGAACGTTGCGTGCGTGTCCGTTTTACAGATCTGACTCCTTTGTATGCAGAATGTTGGTTCCTTGCTTCTCAATCAGATGCACTCCGACTTCGAAGAAAGCTTCCAATTAGTCGACTCTTACGACATGCTTTTGGGTAGGCAGTGGATCTATTCTTTTCTCTCTCTCTCCGTGTTGCGTTGGTTGCGGCTTTCTTTTTGTCGCCACATTTTCTTGTGCAACCCGTCTAAGGAGAAAAGGTCGGCATAGAAACAATTCTTAATTACATACAAAAGACAACACATCAAATGGTTGGTCTCCCTTGAAGAGACAACCATGTGACGCCATACCACACAAGACATGCCACAAAAAGGAGACGAACGTAAAGCACACGGTAGACCAAGAACAAGATGTGAAGATAACACCAGAGAAACTCTACAACATCACCATGTGTCTATAGTCGATTCAGCCATAAGAGCAAAAAGCAGAACATTATTTCTTCCTCGACATCCAAAGTGGTAAGCGAAGAAAAACATGTCTAAAACATATCAACTAATATTAATATTAATTTTTTTCCTTTTTTTTTTAGTTTGTAAGACTCAACGCGTTTAATGGTGCGAAAATGGCCCCTTAACTTTATGTACAATATACCCGAAATACAGAGGTTGAACTCAGTCGACACACTTCAGGTCCAAGTCGAGTCCCAAGTCATTGCCACCAAGTCCAAAGTCATTGCCACCAAGTCCCGAGTCATGTCCCAAGTCATTGCCACCAAGTCCCAAGTCATTGCCACCAAGTCCCAAGTCATTGCCACCAAGTCTCAAGTCATTGCCACCAAGCACCAAGTCATTGCCACCAAGTCCAAAGTCACTGCCACCATGTTCCAAGTCATTGCCACCAAGTCCCAAGTCATTGCCACAAAGTCCCAAGTCATTGCCACCAAGTCCAAAGTCACTGCCACCATGTCCCAAGTCATTGCCACCAAGTCCCAAGTCATTGCCACCAAGTCCCAAGTCATTGCCACCAAGTCCGAAGTCATTGCCACCATGTCCAAAGTCATTGCCACCAAATCATGTTCCAAGTCATTGCCACCAAATACAAAGTCATGTCCCAAGTCATTGCCACAAAGTGCCATGTCAGGCCTCAAATCACCAAGAATGCTTTAAAGTCGTTTCCCGAATCAAGTCACTTCATTAACCAAGTCATTTGCAAGTCGTGCGTGAAACAATAAAAAAAAAAAAAAAAAAAAACTGACGAATATACAAAGCCGGAAATGGCAGTGCGAAAAACGTATTGAACTATATATGAAGGCGGAAGACGTCGAATGTGAAAGCTCGATAAATAGAAACAGAAGGTATTCTGTCCGGGTGTATATGAAGACGCTTGAAAATGTGACGCTGATCGCCAAACTTCACATTGACCGGCCGTGTTGAAGCTACGAGTCGAAAGTCGAGTCGCTGGACAAAACCCCAAGTCGAATCGCAAGCCATTTATTAGTGACGTGCATCATCATTACATTGCAGGTCCTTGGCAAAACGTCGCTTTAATTACATACATCTGCCTGAAAAAATCCACCTCTCGCCAGCCTTTCTGCCTCGTGCACTTTCCTACCAAAGGTATCACTAATATCCTCTACCCCTCTTCGTGCTGGTCGGCCCCTGCCTCTCCTTCTTGGTACCATGCCTTCTGCTATTACTCTTTCCAATCCACCGTGGCACTTGATATGGCCAACATATTATCGTTTACAAAACAAGATGTTGTTTACTAGCCAATCTTCCTTGATGTTACAATTTTTTTTAAGATGTCAGTATTCTTGGTTCGTATTTTTCAGAGACTTTCTTTAGCATTTCAGCTCTCTCATTACAAACAACGCCTGCAAATCCTGGTACGAATATGAAAGTAACTGCACACACAGGAGAATTTTGCAATGACTCAAGCCACTGTCTGCGTAACCATCCTGCCTCGACCCTTGTTAAATCTTTTCCTTGCTATGACTATCCTCTTTTTGACTCCTGTTGAAAAGTCTCTATAGCTGTTTATTAGGGAGCCCAGATATTTAAAATACGCATCAAAGCTGCTGGGGTGAGGGGGGGGGGGGGGTCTTTATTTACTTTACAATGTACACGCAGGTCACCTTGCATGAGCTATGCAAGCTTCGTTCAAGTTTGTTGATGATAAGTTACCTTTAAAGGTTACACTTCCTTGTTGAGATAAAAAAATTTTGGTTGCATGAT